GCTGTAGCTCAAGTGGTAGAGCGCTCGCCTTGAGCTGAAGAGCTGAGGGACAGCACCCAGGCCCAGAGTTCAAGCCCCACGACCGACCAAAAAAAACCCAAGAAAGTCTGTCTCTTCTATCTCCAATTAACCATCAGCAAAAAGCTAGAAGTAGAGCTGTGGCTCAAATGGTAAAGTACTAGCCTTGAGCAGAAAAGCTCAAGACCCAGGCCCTGAGATCAAGTACTGTTGTGCAAGTGGGTACACACACACACACACACACACAGGAAGGAAGAAAGGAAGGCAGGAAGAAAGGGAGGGAGGGAGGAAGGAAAAAAAGGAAGCTCTTTAAGTCCTGTGAACCCACTTATTGTGGGTTTATCTTCAGAAGTCCTGTAAAAGGTCACACTAGGGGCTGGAGGTGTGGCTCAAGTGGTAGAGCACTTGCCTAGAAGACATAACAAAGTTCAAACCATCGAGCCACCCAAAAAGCTCACACTAAACAGACCCTAATTCTCCACCCCTGGGGTAAAAATACAATACAAACGTTGTAAAGCACAAATGAGTTGTCACAGCCCCAAGCCACTCCCACATTCCGATTCCTTTCACTTCAGAGATGAATTCCGTTTATTTCAGAGATTCATTCTAAAATTCTCAGAAGCAGTTGAGTTTTCCCAATCCTATATAAAATCCATCTCCTATTTCTCAGCCCAAAGGCAAAAGCAATTTACAGTGTGAAGGAAAGAGGGAGAGAGGAAGGGAAGGAGGGCGGGAAGAAGGGCTAACATGAATGACCTAAAATTTTATTCTTATTGTATATATCTGAACTCAGAAGGCTTTGTGTGATCTACTATAAATCTGAAAAACATTTAGCACAGTTGGAAAATAATGTTAAGAAAAATTCATACAAGTTTCACTAGTAAAGCTCGTGTATATTTTACTGCATTTATTTGGCTTTTATTGCTGGACAAACCCCTTTTTGTTTGTTCTCTCCTGAATATCAAAGGCAAGTTCAGATTTTGTATTAGTCTTACAATAAATTATAGTATATTCTGTAACACCAAAGTATGGATACAAACTATCCTCATTATCTGCATCTTACCTGATTCTGTAAGCCCCAGAGTACTTCTAAGCAAGATCATCAGATCTACCAAATGAGTCACTTCTGGGCGTTGTCTAGAAACCAAGTTGTTCAAGTTCAAGGGCTAGAGACTGGTTTTACCTTTCATGGAGTAACTGGTTGCCCCAGCAACTGAATGCTTTAACACAAAATTTCCCTAAAGCTTCAAAGTTCCTCTTTTGGACTCGTGTTTTGGAATGTTACTAATACACAAGGAAGTAAATCTGTGCTGTGACCCAGGGCGGAGCACAGATGGCACTTCAATTATATTGCCCATAATTCCATTTTAAACAAGAGCTGAACTGGGATAAAAGACAGGTATAGTTTTAATATAGACTGGGCATCTGTATATAGTGCCAGGTGCCAGCTGCTCATGCCTATTATCCAAGCTATTCAGGAGGCTGAGATCTGAGGATTGCTGTTCAAAGCCAGCCCAAGCAGGACAGTACATGAGACACTAAGCTCCAATAAACTACCAAAATCCCAGAAGCAGAGCTGTTGCTCAAACTGTAGAGTATTAGCCTTGAACAGAAAAGCTCAGGAACAGCACCCAGTCCCTGATTTCAAGCTCCAGGAAGGAATGCACCAAAAACACCATCCTCCTTCTGACGAAAACTTTGTTACAGGAAAGGGGTATGGATGTGGGGGACACCAGGGTTCAACAGTTGTTTATATGGGGATATAGACTTTTAGAATAGATCATAGCAGAACATTAATAATGCGAATAATCTCTTCTGAATCTGTTTGAATTTGCTCAAGCTTTAAAACAGGTTAAAATGTTCAGCTGATTTCTTACCAATTTGTTTGCCAACAGAAGAAACAAACTGAAGGGCAAGTTAAAAACACACCACCAATCTTTAAATCAACACATGAATTCTATACATTAGTTTTGTGGCTTCTAAGATACTGTGTTAAGTACAGCAATTATTCCAAACTCTCCAATTTCTATTTACTTTCCTCAACAAATTATAATACATTTTTGTTTGCATAAAATGGTCCACTCTTAACCAGTGCCAGTGGACATGATGCTAGCTACTCAGAAGGGTGAAATCTCAGGATCACAATTCAAAGCCAGCCAAGACAGGAAAACATCTGAAACTCTTCTCTCCAATTAACTACCAAGGAACTCTAAGTGGAGCTGTGGCTCAAGCTTTAGAGTACTAAGGGACAGCACCCAGGCTCTGAGTTCAAGATCAAGGTGTAGCGCGCGCGCGCGCACAGACACACACACACACACACACACACACACACACACACAAAGGCTACTCTTGATGGGTATTAAAACATTTTATTTGAAGATTTTTAACATAAAAAAGTAAACAAGTACAGATTACATTATAGTGACCAAGGCAGTAGTCTACATAACAAAAATCAAAACAAGACAAACTTATAAAGTAAATGTACCGGTACTAAACAAGCATAATCCTTAACACCCAATCCAGCCTGCACGGGCATAAAATGATTTGACCACATGCTTATGCAAAATAAATTATTTCTCAGAACACCAAAACACCAAAACATTCTGACAGTCCACTGCCTTACTCCCCTGGTGAGTATTTTGAGACCTTCTAGATAACATGAAAAAGAATCGACATGGCACTTAAAAACTACAAAAAATAGAACACAATTTAAAACATTTTGTAATGTAATTCTGTATAAAATATACACGGTAAATCTTATTAGTTAAAAAAGATTTTAAAATAAAAGACCACCATTAATAATGGTTAAAATTTCATCATAGAAAAATGTTTATCATTTACACATTATTGGTAGAAAACTGATTGTAGGCCAGGGAAGGTACCTAACTTGAGATGATTATTTTAAAATGTGGATTTTAATTCACTGCTTTACCCCTTTGCAAAATGTTTTCTCAAGAAAAATCTTTCTAATATTTAACCACAAGACAAAAGAAGAGGAACTTGCAGCAAGTGTTTCTCAAAATGAGGTCCAAAGGCTCAACAGAATTCTGAGGTGGACCCAGGAATATGCATTTTAAACCGAGTTCCTGGTAATCACTTGTCATTTTAAAATGCCCCAGGGGGAAACAGCACCACTTAAAAGCAAGCTCATAAACATCTTTCTGTAAGTTTATGATGTAAAGTGAACACTGCTCTTTGTTTAAAACAAGTTGTTTCAGGTATTAAGAGAAACATTAAGAGACCTTACAAATAAACACAGGAATGTATATAAATATTTGTGTCAGATGTATATTTCAGTGCAGTTATTTGGCTTTTATCACTGGAGGTTTTCACTGTTTTCAGATTTAATTTTTTGTAGAAAAGGGTAATGGTCATACACTTTGGAGCACTTACATTTCTAATGAGATGCAGCATCCGAAAAAGAAAGAATTTAATAAATGTCTACATACATTATAAAGTTTAAAACTAATTAGCTTCTCTAAAATTAAATTTTACTCAATTATATTTTAGATGACTAAATCTTTTCCATAAAAATAATATATAAAATAAACAGAATGTGCTATTATCTCGTACCTCTTTAAATAACAAACTGCTAAACACTAATATTAATAAAAATAACCTAGTAAACTCTTCCCCTGAAATGTATTCTACTATCTGATAAGTTTGTTACCTACTAAATACTCAGTAAAGAGCTGGGAATATACTATATGTGCATGAATGTATGTGTGTTCTAAACATGGACTCATGTTTATTACATTTGGGAGGATTTCATTGAAGACTCCATAAATAGGGAACAGAGGTACAGATAAGGTGGTTTAGGAGAGGAAACAAGAGTTAAGACATTTTGTCTAGTTAGGAGATAAATTATTTCCTGTATACTAAATAAGGAAAAATATTATACATTCTGCCTCCACTGAGTAAATGGAATGCTTTTACAAGTATGGTAACAAGTGAGGTCTGCCTCCTTATTTAAATCAAATTAGAAAAAAACAACTGCAGGACTTGCTCTCCAATAAAAAATAACTACCATACCATTGCACTTTTCTTATCCACTTCAAATTTCTGTCTTTTTCCTTCCTATAGACTGAGCAGTTTTCCATCCAATTTCACACTGGCTCTCCTGGAACACACATTACTATTCCAGTTAGTTTTCACTGAAAGGACAGCTCAGAAGCTGCCTGCTTAATCTCAAACAATCACTTGTGCCAGTTTTTTCAAAAATAGCAAATGGTTTGGAATATGATGTCTTTTTTTTGTTGTTATTGTTTTGCCAGTACCAGGGTTTGAAATCAGGGCCTTGAGCTCATGCGGCTTGCTTGCTCACAGCTCCCTTCTACCACTTGAGCTACACCTCCATGCCACCGTGGCTAATTATTGTGGAAATGGGAGTCTCATGGACATTTTTGCCTGGACTGGCTTTGAACTTTCATCTTTCAGGTCTCAGCCTCCTGAGCAGATAGCATTGCAGGCAGAAGCCACCACCAGCAAACTCGGAATCTGATTCTTAATAAAACATGTCTATTTTTCAACTCAAGAAGAATCTGTTTTCCCCAATTCTAAGCAAGCAGTACCTTTTATTATCAAGTTAATAGCTGAGGTCTTAAAATGAATAATGTAATGTTCTCATTTATCGCAGAGAACATTTATAGCAGGACTTTTAAACATAAAGAACTCTGAAGCTAAAGTGTAATATAAAAAGTTGTATTGTTAAGTAAACTTTTATTTCAAAATTAAATCCTCAAGTGACTTAATACAGAATGATCAAAATTATGGCTGGCTTATGATTAATCTCACTATGTGTCCTAATGTGAAACAGACTTCCTTTAAAAAGCAGTGATATTTCTTTTAAGCAAAAAAGGATAACTTCATTGCTCATCAATATGCCTCTACAGAACCAGAATAACTAAATTTTGACATATGATTGTCTGGAAGCTAGCTTTCTTTTTCACAGTTACATTTCAATGTACCCATTACAATAGTAGTCTATAATAGAGTATGTTGGGTGGTTTTGTTGCAGGTGGCAAATACAAATGGGCTAACTCTATGGAGGCTGACAAGGAGTTCATCCATGCATTCAATGGCAACATAAGCAGAATGCAGAGAGCTGAAAAATGAGGATCACACACATTCTTCTGCAGACATCAAAAGAGGATTGATATATTCAAAACCTTCAAATTCAGACTGGTCAATCTTCCTCACAATGTCACTGTTGAATGAAAAATGAATTAACTTGTCATAATCAACATCTCCAACCTTTAAACAGTAAATATGATTAAAAACTTAAAAACAGGGCTGATTATATAAATTGTGCAAAACATTATTCAAAACATAATCCTAGAAGAATCAAGCTGAGTATTTAGAAAAGACAGGAAGACAGAAACCTAGACAAAAGGAAGAAAATTAGAAGGAAAGAAGGGAGAAAGGGAGAGAGGGAGGAAAAGGAAGGGGAAGGGAAAGAGAGAGAAGCCAAGCAAGATTGGAATAAAAGTTTCCAAGGCACAGACTGTCATGATTTCAGTTGTCTTAACTTTTGATCTGAACAACATTTTTTTTTGGGTCAGTTTTGGGGCTTGAACTCTGGGCCTGGGTGCTGTCCCTCTACTCTTCAGCTCAAAGCAAGTGCTCTATCACTTGAGCCACAGGCGCCGGCTCTGAACAACTTTCTTTTTTTTTAATATGCCATTTTATTTATTTATGTATTATTAATTAAGGTAAGGTCTACATTAGCATCTAACTTAGCACTCACCTCACCAGTCAGAGGGGAGAATGGTGAAGACTCAGAAAGTAGCCAAAAGGAAAAGGCAATAGGAAAACACATCAAGAGTCCTGGAATAGAGAGCACTTCACAAGGAGACAATGGGTCACAGAGGAGATGTTGGCACTGTTTCACCAAGCTTCTACTTTAACATACAGTAAGAGTTTGTACTACTCAACAGTCTAAAGAGCACAAAGTACACCGTCCCTTCCTTGAAGGAGGCAGGAGTAACATACACAGGGCAAGCAGTAAGAGAAAGCAGGAACTACTATATTTTTTTTACGGAATAAGCTAAGTCCTGTTCTAACTCCAGTACTAAAGAGAGGAGTAACTTCTCATTGGAGAAACTGAAAGTCAACACTTGTTCCACATATAATGAGTAAAAAGACAAAAGCCTATGGTAGGTCTAGAGAACTGCAAGTTGTCTATCAGAGTTGGAAGGCAGAAATGGAAGGAAGGGTGTCACAGGGCAGATGGGACTGGAAGGAAGATAATGGCTATATCAAAGAATGAGATGTGTACATTGAAAAACTCCACCCCAACCCATCAAAGATCCTAGTGGCATTTGGGGTGACCCTGAAGGATGAAAAGAATCCAATACGTAAAAATAATGGAGGAACACTGAGGGAGGCGCAGAGAGATAGTGACACTCATCTCAGGGACTGTTGAGTGACAAGACTGAGTATAATACACCATTTGTGTTCCAGTGAGAGATAGCTGGGGAGTCAGACTAGAGCAGAGGTGGACAGGAATGAAATATGAGCCAAGAAGATAGACAGAGTTAAGGAAAGTTCCCAATTAAAGGGAGTGGCTCTTCATAAGTCAAGAGCACAAGTTTCACAGTAACTTGGTAAAAGAGTCAATTAGGAGGTCGGTAATACTCCTGGCATGAATGAATAAAGAGAAAATACACAGACTTGGCAACTTTAGGTATTATATGATCTGTTACAAAAAGGAGCCAAGAATCATTGAGATTCAAATCTGATTCCATGGCAGTGCAATAGTATACACAGAAAATAACACAGAGCCAACTGACAGCAACAGGAAAAGGGACCATAAGATAGTACTTTGAGCTGGGCGCTGGTGGCTCACGCCTGTAATCCTAGCTACTCAGGAGGCTGAGAAGTGAGGTAGTTCAAAGCCAGCCCGAGAAAAGCCCGTGAGACTCTTATCTCCAATAAACCACTCAGAAAACCGGGCGCAGTGGCTCAAGTGGTAGAGCACTCGCCTTGAGCTAAAGAGCTAAGGGACAGTGTTCAGGCACAGAGTTCAAGTCCTATGACCAACAACAACAACAAAAAAGATAGTGCTTTGATTTGAGAGTTTCATATATTTGAAGTGTTTATCTGACATCTTTATCTTAATGTCTCCTGGGAGATATTTTAAAAAGCAGATGGAAATAACCGCTCAGGAGAGTAAAGTAGGATTCTAAACACCACTCACTTTGTTTCCACCAGCACCTTGTATGTAAACAATATGAAAATAGGCTCAGAGGAGTTATGCAATTAAGTCAAGGTTATCCAGCTGGTTAAGAGGTGACATCGGGATTCAAACGCCTATCTTTTGATTAACTCCAGTGTTCTTTCTAAAACACAATGCTGTTAGGAGTAATGACTTGGTAGAGATCTTCCTTTTCTGGTAGATAGTAAGCTTTTGCTCATCTTTGCATGTCTTATCCTTAGCACGTTCCTTTTACCAAATAACCATTTGTTGTTTTAGTCAGGAATCACTTAAATACTAGTATTCATGCTATAGGCTGGCTGAAATCTCCAAGGTACAATCTGAATGCAGCAAAGAGAAAGCTGCCATGAACAGAAGCAAGGAGCATCTTGGTCTCAGGGGAAGAAGGAAGAAGACAAGCCAATGGCCACAGAGCAGAATTGGGATGGATACTGCTACCTAGGGCAAGGCCACGAATGCAATACCTTACAGGCATCGGGGAAATGATGAAAAAGTGCCTCACTGTCAAGTCCATTTAATCTGCAGCTCAAAAGTGAAACCTGAAGGATCATGTTATATTGTTGGCAGGAGCAAAGAACCAAGACTCAATGTTGACTACTACTTTCAAGTGTAATAGAAAAAATATTTACTTATTCTCTTTCCCAAAGTACCCACTAATTATTTGTAATATCTGAAGATGAAAACAGAGTGAAAAAATGTGGGAGCTCCAACAAGGGCTAAAAATGCTCAGAATAAGTGAGCATTTTTGTAAGTAGAGGGCAAGAAGCTGTTAAAATAAAAAGGGTAAACAAAATCCTATAGGAAACAAAGAAAACAAGTCTGGAAAACTAGGAGAGAGTCTCTTATAAAAGAGGAGAGCTTTCTCACAGTAGGAGTAAGAAAAAGGTCAGTAAGATTTAAAAGAGCAGTGCTGAGACACAGTGAACCTGATGACAGCTAGAAAGGGAGCAAGCTCACACCAAATTGGTCTCAGTCCTCACAGACAGCAAGGTTAATCCAGGAAGAATGATGGCATCAGGGATAGGACTGAAGGCTTGTAAAAAGTATAGACATTTATAACAGCTGTGGGAAAGAATGTGGTAAGACGTCAAATGTTAAGTAAAGCCAATGCTAAATACTGAGGGCCTCCTTAAAATTACAGATTATGAATCTGCAATGACAGGTAGGTTGTAAAACATGCACAAATTATGCCCAACTTTTTTTTTTGTTCTTGTTCATGGGGCTTGAACTCAAGTAGGGCCTGGATTCTTTTGCTCAAGTCTAGTGCTCTGCCACTTTGAGACACAGCTCTACGTCTGGTTTTTGAGTGGTTACTTAGAGATAAAAATCACATAGGGACTTTTCTGCCCAGGCTGGCGTTGAACTGTGATCCTCAGATCTCAAGCCTCCTGAGTAGCTGGGATTATAGGCAGGAGCCACCAATGCCCGGCTCAACTTTTTTTTTTTTTAAAGGATGCAACATAGGTACAAAAATATTTCAATCAGGGCTGGGAAGGTGGTTCAGTGGTAGAGCGCTTGCCTGGCATGCCTGAGGCCCTGGGTTCGATTCCTGAGAACCACATAAGCAAAAAAGAAAAAAGCCAGAAGTGGCGCTGTGGCTCAAGTGATAGAGCACTAGCCTTGAGCTGAAGAGCTGAGGCTGAGGGACAGCACCCAGGCCCAGAGTTCAGGCCCCACGACTGGACCCCCCCCAAAAAAAAATTTCAGTCACTGCTGACTGGACTTGATAACTTGATGTTATATCTAAGGGTAATAATCAGAAACTAAGATGTTCATCATCAAAATGCAAACAAGGCAGCAGAGCAGAAAGAGCTCAGGATCTGAGTTTGAATCCTGACTGCCACCTGACAGCTGTGTAACTGCTTAATAACCTCTCTGAGCCTCGGCTTCTTCATAAAATGAAGATAATACTAGCTTACGAGGTTGTCAGAATTAGACAATGTATGGAAAGCAAAGCAGAAAGTAAAGGCAGTTACAGTTATAATTTATAACAGTATGATGGACTCAACTATCCATCTAGAATGATTACATAAACTACAGTATAATTGGATAATATTCAGTAGCCATTAAAACTAGGGGGAGATGTTCAAACGAACTTTAGAAATATTTCAATGTGCAGAATTACTTACTCATCATCTGGAGTAAGCTGGACAGGTTCATTAGTAAACTGAGAATCAAAGTTGTCCAAACCAAATTCTCCAGAAATATTTGGTTTAAAGGGAGGTACCACCTGTTTTTGCTCCATCTGAAAAGATAGATTAGATCAAGCCTGCATTCTTAGAAAAATTTCAGTTCTACATTTTTCTTTAGACAATTTTAATAATGATACACTTCATTTATAAATTTGAACATTATTGAGATGAACCTCAATAATGCTACAACCTATTCATTGTATCAATATTCTAATTGTTTTGTTCTCAAAATTTTTCAAAAGCACTTTTGAATTTAACTTTAAGGGATTAAAGCTACAACATACTAGTTTTTCAACAATCTTCTAGAACAACAAAAATTGGCCTATAGTAACAATGAAGCCTAATACAGAAAATAATGAAAATGTACACACCATATCCCAGTCGACATTTCGAAAGAATGGGTGTCCCTGAATATCAGCAAATCCCGTTTGGGGATGACAACCCAGCCGCTCCTTTGGGTCCTGTGATAGACAAACATTTCAAGAACTGGACAAATGACAAGTGCTTTAAATAAACCTTAGTGATCTGTTTTGTGCCTATTTCATGATGCCTTTATTTCTGAAGTTGAAATGACCAAGAGCATAATTTGAAGCACATGATGGCTAAGAATCCTTTATGGTCCTTTCTTTGCTTCTCTCTCTCTCTCATCTCCCTCTCTCTCCCTTCTCCCTCTCCCTCTCTCTCTCCTCTCCCTCTCTCTCTCTTTCTCTCTCTCTCTTTCCAGTCCTGGGGCTTAAACTCAGGACCTGGACACCATCCCTGAGCTTCTTTTACTAAAGGCCAGCACTCTACCATTTGAGCCACAGCGCCACTTCCAGGTTTCTGGTTGTTTACTGGAGATGAGTCTCATGGACTTTCCTGCTTGGGGCTGGGCTTTGAAACATGATCCTCAGATCTCAGCCTCCAGAGTAGCTAGGATTACAGGCGTGAGCCACTGACGCCTGACAAAGTTTCAAGTTTTGACTGTGACCTCACACAAAGAAGTCGTCTAAACTAAGCTTCATTTTCTGATTTTTACTATATTTTTGTGTGGGGGGCTGGTCATGGGGCCTGAACTCTGGTCCCTCAGCTCTTCAGCTCAAGGCTAATGCCCTACCACTTGAGCCACAGCACCACTTCCAGCTTTTTCTTCTTATGTGGTGCTGAGGAATCAAACCCAGGGCCTCATGCATGCAAGGCAAGCACTCTACCACTGAACCACGTTCCCAGCCCCTGATATTTACTAAAATTTATCATTACCTATTTGCCTTAGAATTTATGACTGCTCAAATGACAATCTTAGATCCTAAAACTCTTCTATCCTATCAATATCAATTGAATGATGCTCAGATTTTTAAGGTAGCATTTCATTTCTTCTGAATTTTACAGAATTATAAGCCTATTTGGTATGACAATGTGTAGAGAACACTACAATTCACATGCCCAAAAACTATATCGAATGAACAGATGATATAGCTAATCATACAAAAAACCCTGGAAAAATAGAGTAGGAAGTAGAGATTTGGCTAACCCCAAAGATACTTTCCCCCACTAAGAATGTGGTCCATACAAGGATCACTTGCATTAGAAACATTACATGGTCTCTAGTTTGGGGTAAGTCACATTGACAAAATGGAAACAAAAACTGATTTGAGGATATAATGCTAACCATAGTCTTTGGTTAGCAGACAAATTTTAAACCTAACTGAAAAAGTTACACATTCTGTTTTGGGATGTTAAATTGTCTGGGACTCTATTTACCAACTTGATTTATATAAATAGAGACAAACACAAAAGATTTTTACATATAATTTATACCTTATTGAGAAAACTCTTCAGGACACTTGCAGCTTTTACAGATAGAGAACGTGGTATTCGAATTTGTTTTTCCAAAATAACTGGAAAGATAAAAACCATAGCACTATGTTTCTGTTTTACATGGCTTTCATCTTTACATTTCTATTCTATTTAAAGCAGAAAAATCTTCCACATACAACTGAAGCACCTTGTGTTATCTCTCCATTGTTAAAAGATAGCCTCTTATCTGTACAATGCACCACCCATCGCTTATATATATGCTTATTCTTTGACTACTTTATTTCCTCATCTACAAAACAGGAAAAATGCCTGCTTCACAGGACTATTATGAGATTACCAGAGTTACTATTTGTAAAGTTCTTGCAGATATAACAATATGCAACTTTGTTTTATTGTGTAATATTACTTTTCTCTACAGCTATTGCATCAGTTTCACTCCCTCCCACAGTCTCGGAGAGTTCCAGTTGCTTCATACTTTTACAGCCAAATATACACGTAATCACTTGGTAGCTCATTAACATTTTAGTATATATTATCCTAATTACTAGGGAAGCTGAATGTCTTTTCAATATGGCTATTTGGATTTTCTATTATATGAAATTCGTATCTTGGGAGAGCTTTAATTACTGAATACAGGTTTTTGGGTTTTTTTTGTGGCAGTCCTTTTACATCTCTGAATTATGTATTAAGAGGTCAGGGTCCCTGACCCTGTTTGCTTTTTTCGCTTCTGTTCAATTCTTAGTATTCCCGATATATATTCTCTTTCTTTCTCTCTCATCGGTTGTGGTTCTGGGCCTGGGTGCTATCCTCAACTCTTCAGCTCAAGGCTAGCACTCTACCACTTGAGCTACAGAGCTACTTCCGGTTTTCTGAGTAGTTTATTGGAGATGAGAATATCCCGGAGTTTCCTGCTGGGACTGGCTTTGAACTTCCATCCTCATATCTCAGCCTCCTGAGTAGCAGGATTATAGGCGTGAACCACCGGCACCTAGCTATCTTTCTTTTTTTTTGGGGGGGGGTCCAGTCGTGGGGGCCTGAACTCTGGGCCTGGGCACTGTCCCTGAGCTCTTCAGCTCAAGGCTAGCGCTCTACCACTTGAGCCACAGCATCACTTCCGGCTTTTTTCTTTTTGCTTATGTGGTGCTGAGGAATCGAACCCAGGGCCTCAGGCATGCAAGGCAAGCACTCTACCACTGAGCCACCTTCCCAGCCCCTCTTTCTTTCTTTTTTTTTTTGAGGATTAATTTTGTATTTGTAATTTATTTTTATTATCTTCAAGTAGTCATACAAAGGAGTTTAACAGGCCAGTTTCAATACATTTTGGCCAATGTCACCCCTTCCATCCATCTCCTCATCCCTTCCAACCCCACTTATTCCCTCAAGTAACTGGTTCCATTTTTACACACATACACACTAAATACTCTGAGTATATTCTCCTATGCTTTCTAATGGTTTTCTTTTTTGTGGCACTGGGGTTTGAACTCAGGGCTTTGTGCTTGTTAGGCAGCCATGTTATTGTTGAGCCATTTCCCCAGCCTCCACTTCAAACCCTTGTTATCTTCTTAATACTCCCCTTTCTTCTATACATTTTTTTTTGGGGGGGTGGGTAGTGGGGCTTGAACTCGGGGCCTGAGCACTGTCCCTCAGCTCTTCAGCTCAAGGCAAGCGCACTATCACTTGAGCCATAGCGCCACTTCCGGTTTTCTGGTGGTTTACTGGAGATTAGAGTCTCATAGACTTCTCCTGCTAGGGCTGGCTTTGAACCGTGATCCTCAGATCTCAGCCTCCTTAGTAGCTAGGATTACAGGTTTGAGCCACTGGCGCCCAGCTTCTACACATTCTTGAATGTATATACTGAGCCTCAGGGTTCATTTGTAGACTCTTCTTTAGCCTCAGGATCCCCATCTTCAATATATGTGAATATCTAAGGTAAAGGAACTCTTCTTTATGATATAGTATGAAAAGGGTAATAACAGATGGGACTGGAGACTATAAAAGTAGGAAAGATGTTTAAAGTTCAAAATCTCACACAGGAGTATAATGCACAAATTTTCTCCTTTTCTTCCCATAGTTGTAGAGTTTATTAATATTCATGATCTGCTAGGATTTGGGGGAGGGGGATTTTTCTGGGGAGTACGAAGGTTTGAATTCAGGGATTACTACAAAAGCACACTACTGCTTGAGCCAAATCTCCAGCTTGTTTTCCATTTTCTTAACCAAAATAATAAACTGAATCACTCCAATTAGCACTTTAAATAGATAATTCACAAAGAATCTCTATAAAATACCATATGTTACCTTGGAAAAGATAATCTTCTGTATTTTGATCAGGGTTATCAGAGCTCCCAACAATATCAAATGGAGACCTTCCAGCCATCATCTCAAACATCAGAACTCCAAGAGCCCACCAGTCAACACTGAAACCTTCAGAAAGAAATTTTATAGTAAAAAAATCACTCTACAAGCTTGAGTGTGAGTAGAAATCCATTTTTATCATATAATGAAAATATAAACTCTAAATGATTATATTATGTAAGACAATGAGAACCACAGAAATACTTAGCTTGTCAACAAGAGATAGTACCTAAAAGATAGGTTAAGATATCAAATTATGGGAAATGAAACAAGTTTTCCCCAAAATATAGGCATAATTTCAGACCAATGTCCACTACCTAATATTCTGTTCTGAGGCTATAATTAAACTGTATTTGAAAATGAGTTCTTTTGATCTGAAACTTGTCTTTTGCTAGTTTACTGAAAGCTTTTGAGTTCACTGCTGATGTCTTACGCTTGTAATTCTACTCGAAGGCTGAGATCTGAGGATCATAGCTCAAAGCCAGTCTAGGCAGGAAAGGGTCAAACTTAACCTCCAAATAATTACCAAAAAAGCTGAAAGTGGAGCTATGATTCAAGTGGTGAGGGTTCACCTTGAGTGGAAAAGCTCAGGAACAGCACCTAGGTCTTAAGTTCAAGCTGCAGGACTAGCACCAAAAAAAAAAAAAAAAGCTCTTGAGTGACCTTAAATTCACCTGTGTGCTGCCTTCAGCAGTGCCCCATCCGCCTAACACCTGCTGAATCTGAGGGCCAGAACCCAACAAGTCAAGTACTTTCTTAAGATACAATAAAATAAATTTTCTGGTGCCTGTCAAGCAGCCAAGCTTTCCACCACCTTTGAGAATCCTGGGGAAAGTTTCCCAGAAACTTGAACCACCCCAGAGGCTCACGGGAGTCACAGGCTGTTGGGTGAAAGGTCTTTTGCCACTGTCTAGCTGGCAGGACATTGGAGAATATTGTTCAAAACTTTCTGTTCAGGGACTGGGAAGGTGGCTCAGTAGTAGAGTGCTTGCCTTGTATGCGTGAGGCCCTGGGTTCGATTACTCAGCACCACATAAATAGAAAAAAACAGAAGTGGCGCTGTGGCTCAATTGGTAGAGCACTAGCCTTCAGCTGAAGAGCTAAGGGGTTCAAGCTCCATGACGGACCTAAATAAATAAATAAAAATTTAAAAAAACTTTATGTTCATCAGTTTCTTCATTTGTGAAATGGAAATGGCACTCAGAAAAAGTCAACTGAGGATTAACTTAATTAATATAAACCCCTAATGTCTGCCAGTATAATGTTTGTCACTAAAAAAGTATTGTTCAGGTTTGGACCCCTAAAAACCCTGATTACAGAGTTTGGGGAATTGATACAGGTTTTAATGGAACAAAAACAACAACAAAATACTATCAGCAGGACCAGCATTAAAATACTATATGGGCTACTGGTACCACATCAAGCCTCCCATCCAGCAATAGCTAAAATAGCAACTATTTATTACCATAATCTTCTCCTCTTAAAATTTCAGGAGCAATGTAATTAGGAGTACCACAGAAAGTACTGGTTGTATCTCCAGGTCGCAATCCTTCCTGAACAGAATTAAAAAATGAGATATAAATTTGTTTTAAATTCACCTTTTTTGTTTTACCTGCCACACATTCAGCATAAATAACACATCATTAAAAATTTGCCTTTAATACAGGTGGACCTGTTGCAACAATGAGAAGTACAAGTTGTCATGTCCAAAACGAGCTTTTCAACGTCGGTGGGGGG